AGAACGCGAGTTTTACACCGAGGATGGATGCGATGGCTTCTCGGAATTCGGCACTCTTCGATGCGAATATCTAATAAAAAAGTATGAGGAACGAAGTGAGGCGGACGGACCGCAGAACATACCTGCTGGAGCCTCAGCAATCGTTTCTCCTTCTGCTTTACTGTCTCCTCCAGCTCATTCTTCTCCCTAGTCACCAGCTCCCAACTCTCCCTTGGTACAAGCTCCTCTCCGGGCTGTTGGTTGCTCACACTACCACCCCCGATGAAGCCGCTCTCCTCCAGCTCCTTCAGCCGTTTAATAAGAGCCTCATTCTCTCCTTTGAGCCGGTCCATCGCAGCTTGTCGCAGGTCGAACCACTGCTGCTCAGGGTTGTCCTTCATTGACAGCACCCGGACTCCCGGAGGAACATGCCGACCACCAGCCATCTCACCTCCAAGCTCGAACAGCGTCTGTTCGAGCTCTTCGATTTTCTCCAGGTGTAATTTGGTTTCTGATTCGGCTTCTTCAAGAACTGGGGGTCAGAAATCAATTAGTAAAATGTATCTTGAGAGTGACGATGTGTAAAAAAACCTTTCTGGAGTGCAGCCTTCTCCAAACGTTCTTTCTCCACTTCTGATGACAGAGCCTCACGGCTTTGTCCTTGCCCGAGAGAAGATGAGCTACCGCCCAAGGCGTCGATCTCCTTCGCCAATTGGAGGTTCGTAGCTTTGTATTCTTGCAGGAGAGCTTCGAGCTGCTGTATGCGCTGGTTCTTCATTTCGTCGAACTGCACATTTTCAAGGCTGGCCTCTTCTGCGTTGAAACTCGCCTAGGGACGCGCATCAGGACCATAAACAACAACTAACACACGAGAAAACACCAACTCACAACTAGCGCCTGGAGGAACCCAACCTCCCGTTCTGCGAGCATGACGGTGGTATCTTTCCGGTTGAGTTGCTCTTGGAGACTACGAACGTGTTGGGAGAGAGATTGCACATTCTGCTGCGCCTCTGCCTCCCTGCGCTCGTAATCTAAAATGTTGGCTTCTCGTCTACGGAGAAGAGCAGTGGTTGCGCCGTGTTCTTCGAGTAGACGAGCGTGTACTAGGCGAAGATCGGAGAGGTTTTGGGTCACCGACACGGGGATCTTCGATGGCGCGCTTGAGTCTGCAGCCTTTGATGCCCTGAACAGTCGTTAGTACTTGGAAAGGGAAACGGGAGGTAAGCATACCATTCCTCTCTTTCCCTCCGACCAGCCTCCACTTCCGCCTCCAATCTCACGACCTTCTCTCGTAGCTCATCCATCAGCTTCACCTTCCTCTCCAGTCCCCTCTTCTCCTCCCTCAGCACCTCCACGCTCGTATGCCTATCCCGCAAAACAGTCAACTCTGCCGTGAGCTTTGCATTCGTAGACTCAAGAGTACGCAGGTACTCTGCTTGCCGGTGAAGCTCCTCTCTCACTACGACCATATTCTCTTCTTCCTGGGCGCGCCGCATAAGCGCATCCTGGTTCGAGCTGAGTTGCTCATACTGCTCCTGGAGCTCCTCGATTGTTCGGCTTCGCTGATCAGCGACCATTTTCGCTTGCTCGAGCTCATGCGAGAGCAGCTCGTCTCGGTGTGTGAGTGTGGTGATTTGGGACTTTTGAGAGGCGATGGTTTGGGCGGTGGATCGGGAGAGGGATGAGTGCGCGTCTTGAAGATCTGCAAGCTCTTCACGTAGAGAGGTCAGGGATGTTCGTAGGTTCCTGAGGTCGCTGTCGGTTTTCCTCTGGAAAGGAAACTTAGTATTTAATGTGTAGAGATATGTAAATACTGACTGACCTTCTCCTCGTCGTGTTCTGCTCGCTCTTTCTCCTTTTCCTCCCGCTCCTGTTTCTCTCTATCGGCAAACCACCTTCTATCGCGTTCCAAACGCTCAATAAGCAGGTCCTTCTCGCGTAGCTTTGTTTCTAGCTCCATCTTGGTCGTCTGAGCAGCCAGCAGCTGCCGTTCAAGGTTCGCGTGTGCCATTGACGACGTGAAAACCTGTGTGCGCTGTTGACGTTTTGCCACTGACAGCTGAGGATCTACGTGAACAAAGCTGGTCAGAATTATTAACTCGTGGATTCCACTAAAACAGCAGAAACAGTTGGACTGACCTCGTTCCAGCTCTGCAGCTAATGAGTCACGTTTCGTCGCCGTTGAACGCAGCAACGAATCATACCGCGTCTTGTTCAAAGGGGTTTTGAACTGGTCTCCGTCCATATTATGTAGCAGTCATAGACTCTGAAATAAAGATGTTGACGGTGGCGGTTACAAAGTGAGTGGCAGTCGTTCATTGTTCATGTAGTGATTGGGTTAGGGTTAACTCATAATATGAGCACAAACAAACGTCCATTTTCTTTGCTAACTCCTTGCTAATTACCACTACTACTCTGGACGAGTATCCATGGATTCTGACGGCTATTCAGACCTCACGGACCTGGAAAGTGACGAGTACGAAGAATCGAGTAAGAAGAAACCAGGAAAGAAAAACGCGGCAAAAGGCGGTGGCTATAGGATTCGAAATGCTCTGAAAGTACCGCGCGCAACAACCTACACGGCCCAGGCTTTGTTCGGTGCGCAATGCAGCATTCTGAAGCTCGAATAGTCTCTAACATGCTACACACAGATCAAATGTGGAACTGCGATATCAATGTGGATCCAGAATACCAGCGAGGTAAGGTGCACCTATGTGTCGTAACATAGACGTTGATCCGAGCTTCATTTAGATGTTGTATGGCCGGAGGCAAAACAGATTGGCATCATCGACTCTATCTTTCGCAACTTCTATATCCCTCCCGTTATCTTCTGTGTGAAGTCGTTTGACGATGGAACGGAAAGCAAGACGTGCATAGACGGAAAGCAGAGGTTAACGTCGATACGCAGGTTCATGGACGGCGAGGTGAGTAGCTCTTTAACGATGATGCAACCTGCGGCTAAACATTTACGATAGATACCACGTAAGTGTAATTCCACTAGATGCTCCGTGTCCACTGAGAAGAACTGTGTTAGATAAGGATCCGTGAGTGCTACGTTTCTGTTCGTAGTGCCGCATAGCTCACGAGTGTACTATTACCAGTCTTACCAATGACAAGCTATGGTACAAAGAACCAGACAAAGAGAAACGGGGCGCGAAAAACCCTAAACTTCTTCCCGAAAAGTATCGACGGCTATTCGCAAACAAGCAGATCGTATGTGTGGAGTACCAGGACATCTCGGATTCAGACGAGCGAGAGATCTTCCAGGTGCGTTTTTTTTTGCATATGATACTATTCCTGTGTATTTGCGCTAAACTTCTGTTTCTGCTCCAGAGAGTGCAGCTTGGTATGGCACTAACGCCTGCAGGTCGGATCATTTTCATTTTGCACCCCACCTCGTTTCCTAGCTCACATTTTCAACGCAGAGAAACTACAAGTCGTCAACACAGACCGCGCAACATTCATCCGTGAGCTGCTAAGTGCACATTTGAAAGATGAGGGCAGTCTCGCCGGAGAAGCCATCGAATGGGATCGCAGTCGCGGGAACGACTTCCGCTGTATCGCTCAAGCTGTCTACTGTATGGACAAATGGGGCGAAGGCCTCAAAACCCAAGGCACAATAGTCCAACTCGAGAAATGGCTGAACGCAGCACAACCCCTCTCCCCAACGCTCCGCTCAAACGTAGAAGACACATTTCGCGTATTCTCAGACCTCGTAGAAGATCCCAAACTCAACAAGGTGTTCAAGAGCCCAGCAAAAGTCTCCCCGGTCGAATTCATCTCCATCGGGCTGCTCCTCTTCGCTAAGAAAGACTCCATGTCGCTCGCTCAGCTGTCTGCAGCTATAGGGCAGATGCGAAGCCACGTCCGCAGGGAACACGTCGATATCCGAGCGAATGGCCGCGTTCAGAAGACCATGCTGGACTTTATCGCGCTTGTGAAGCCGGCTAGGATTGCGGGAGACTCGGGAAAGGTGGCAGGCTCGGCGCTGGGACAAAGGCTGAAGCGGAAGCGTGAGTCGGATGAGGAGGGTGAGCTGGTGGTAGCGAAGGCGAAGAAGGAGCCACCTACGGCTGCCGTGCCCAAGCCTCCTCCGCTTACACTTAAACTGAAACCTACTCCAAAGCAGCCGAATCCTCCTACCCCTGTGGCTCATGATAGAATGGCGGCTCTGCGAGCAGCCAAGAACGCTACTGCTGCATCCTCATCTCAGCCACTACTACCACCACCACCACCGCCGCCGACGAATGGTAACCACTCATCCCAGGGACAGCAACCACCGCAGATGCTCCCATCCCCAGGGCGTTCCTTCTCTTTCTCTAACTCTTCATTTATCCACCACCAACAGCAGCAACAGCAACATCATCCACACCCACTCGACCCACACGCGACGCGCCCCGCCGACCCACGACCACCCCCATCATCCGCACCCTCTACATACTCAAATACTCACATGACGAACGGCTCAGCAGAGTACGGCGGGCGTCCACCGTCAAGCTCATCATCATCCAATATGAACAACGACCGGTACGCCGATTCCCCGCGGGGCCCACCACCACCACCACCACCACCACACTCTGCGAGCTCAATGGGCGGTGGTGGCGCTAGTCGTGGGCGGGAGTACGGGCAGGAGGTGTATGCGAGACACCATGACCCGAGGGAGAGGGATTATAACAACACCTGGGACCGCGACTGGGAGCGCGAGCGGTATGCTGCCCCTCCTCCCCATCCTCCCGTTAGTGGTCGAAGAGGTGATGGTGGCTGGGGGCCACGGCGATGAGAAATTGGTATGACTTTTTTTTCGATTTACAACTTGTGCGTATGTGACTGACTTCAGGCTCTTTCTCTCTCCGCAGGTTGTTATATATTACGTGGATCAGGATTTTAGTTGGCTTTTTTTGCTATCATATTGCTGTAACTACTCCATTAACGATTCTATTTACTTACTTGTAATCGCTTTTATGCAGTTTGATTTCGTGACACCCGCATGGACTCATGGAGGTTCTCATCCACCTTAACATGGTTTAGTGGTCTAGTGGTTATGATTTCTGTCTCACATCGAACGATACGCGTAGTACACAGAAGATCCCCAGTTCGACCCTGGGCTGAACCAAGGCTTTGCTGCCGTTTTAAACTTCCTCTCGGATCTTTGCAGGTTTAGATGTCTTTTTGACATGGAAGGCACCGCCTTACGTTGGAGATGCAGAGCTTCTTCCGCATTGGCTTACCTTGGGCTACCAGTTCATCCAGACTGTCCGAGTCTGGGTCAAGCTTTACAGCGCAGTGCGCTGCTCGACAACAGTTGTAATACCCGAAACGAGAGCCGGTATCTATTTGGTGCAGAATGATGATACGCCACTCTGAGGCGATTTTGAAACCTGGAGAATTTCTCACCGTGGTGGCCGTGGTGAACATCGAAATTGATACTTAGCACCCATACAGGGATACGACCCAACATTGATTCTAAGATATCATTTCAAGCATCAAACGGGGATATCTATGAAAGGTAGAATCACACAAAGCGATGTACACGAACAACGAAAACGATTCTAACAAAAATCGGAAAGAGTTTCATCTTCAAACATGCAGCACCTCTATCGTAATCTTCTGCCCAAGCCATCCAAGAAAGTGAGAGCGATCTTCATCTACGGTAATAGTGACGACAGCATAGCACGGGTCAGTGGGTAGAGCAGTCGGACTCGGGGAAGCGGCAAGAGCAGAAGCAGCTGAAGTGAAAGTGGTAGAAGCCGGAGACGACGACGCGCTGGAATGAGAAGAGGATCTGTCCAGATACAGCGAATCATCCGACAGAGGAGAGCTGGTATAGGCGGTAGATGAATGCGCGCTCGGGGTGTCGTAAGAAGAATTGATGGGCGAATAGTCACTGTCGGAGAGCAGACGGGCACGTTTGGCTAGGACGTGCTGCGTGGATTTCATGGGTCGGTGTTCAGGGCTTGAGGTGGGTTGATCTAAGGTATTGCAGGACAGAAGGAAGCTTGACGATGTAGATACGGACGAGACTGTGCTAGAGAATGGGGATGAGCTTCGAAGGTGGATCAGTAAGGACGCCTGGCAGAAGAAAGAAAGACGGGCATACGAGAGGGAGAGTGAGCTAGTTGCGCGCAACTCCGCACATACAAGCTGACAACGCGACTCATAGTTGATATCTGGCACCGCAAGTATACTATAGCATCCATGAAAGTTGGTTGGATGGCTCTGGGATCGAAGAGCGTCACGGAGATGCGAAGCTGTTTGGTATTCTGTGGGGATAGGTAGATAACATTCGCGGTTCTTGGTCTTCTAGACGTGATAAATGCAGTTAGTATGCAGGACATCAGCAATAAGAGAACGAAAATGCACCTCGAGAGCGAGAAAGGTGGATATAATACGCGTGGTACATGCTTCGATAGGTTGGGGTATCGCTGCCGTATGACTGGACACTGACGATTTGGAACTGGCTGGCATCGGCGCCTTCTTCGGAATAAGTTGCGACATTCTGGGTAGTTCTGAGGTCTTGAGACTCTTTGCCACTGGGCGAACTTGAAGATTTTCAACCATATGGGGCCTTGGTTCAACAGTATCCGTGTTCACGCTGGTGTCGAGTAACGGTTTAGTGGGGGTAAATAGTCGCTTTTGAGGTTCAGCCGTCTTGTGCATCTTCTTATACGAAATATCAACGCCTCTGACCATTAGACATGAACGAAAACTCACCTTTGTAACAGATGGATTCTCATTCTCGCTCTCCTCTGCCGTTTCTCGCTTCCTCTTAACACCCTCACAACCATCTTGCGTCTCCTCCGAACTACGCACATCCTCTGAATTCAGCACCCCTTCCACATATCTGCGCGCCTTCTTTATCTCTCGATACCTCCGCGAACTGATACGTTTCTTATCGCGGCACTCCTGGCACCATTTGTAGATCTGGGAGTTTGGAACTTCGAAGCGTTTACAGTGGCTACATCGACGATATTCGATAAGTTTTTGGGTACGTTCGTCGAGCCTGTAGAAGGAGCAGCTATGGTTTGTTGGAGACGGCATGAGGTGTTCAGGTGGTCGCAACAAAGATTTAAGAGGCGCGTCACGGGTTCGTGCATATTACACAATGAGCGCAGATCGTTGCACACTTCCATCAAGCCACGTGTATTCCACAGCGGACTTTCCTGATTGATATGCCTTCTCTAAAGCTAATGTCAGTATACTAAGTACATCCAGTCGGAAGACAGCTACCCAGCACACGAGGCTTTCTTGTCCTAGTCCCGTACCATACATGTGGTTAAGTCAATACATATTGCATGTGCACAAGTTCAATAAAGATATCCACAACATTCCTGGCAAACACAACGATGAAAACTAATCTTCGCGCAGAACGAACCTATGAATTCGAGTAAGTGACCGACCATACACAGAACGAGAAGACTCACCCTGCTCCATCTAATCATCTGATCCCGCTGCTAACGGCGTTTCATTTAATTATTTGAGCCTGCATTGCCCGAAGTGTACATATACGCAGGACCACCTGTCGTAAGGCACCGCCCACATCACCAAACTTGATGAAATTTGTAAAACGGCGTACAAAGTTAGTTTCGTGCGTTACCCCAGCACTGTTCATGAATCCTATTCCAAAAGGAAGCAAGGTAACAGGAAACAGTCTAATAGTCAATACAGATGGTTGTAAATGTATTGAAGTGATTGACGAGCAGACAAAACATACCAGGATCTCGTATATGATTGTACCTCGGGGTAGATGGTAATAGGTAACACTTCGGTATACGGATTAAGAGCTCCATATGCCCGCTGTTTGGCATGTCACCGACCTCCCAATGTACAATCCAAACCACAAGCAAGAACCCGGATGATGCAAGTCACGAAAGCCATAGAGAGCATAGCACGTGCTGTAGGAGGTGCAAACTAAAAGCTCCAGCTCTGAGCGGCGAAGATCTCGAAGTCATTGCGCAGCGTAACTGCATAGTTGGCCTTCAGCATACAACTAGAAATATCAACGGTATAGAACATACCAGACCCCTCAAGTCCGATTCCCCGTTGTGGTATAGTACAATCGCATGCTTTGTACTTGAGGACCTGGGGCGTCTCTCTGTTGGTTGTACGAGGAAGATGTGCATTCTTAATGCCACTAAGGCCTAACACGACGAGAAATCGAATCATAGCCTAACGCTAGGCAGAAGACGTAGGAGGTAGGGCGCATACGAGAACGTTCATAATCCGGGAGTTAAAGGACTTCTGTCCTCGAGGTGATCTATGTATTCAACTATATTGTGAAGTAACGGCGGCATGTGACGCACCTGGCTCTCGAAACCTTTTGTATTTCGTTGCAAGATAGTTTAGTTTGCTTGTTCATCGAGGATTTGAAGCCTAACCGATCGAAAGGGATGAGATAATAGGTTAACTGGTGCTTCGGGGTTATGTCAGTCAAACGTGTCTTCGCAAAGGAGGCAAGTTCTGTTGGACAGCGTTGGCTGTGAAAGCATAAATTGAATTTCAGATAGGTGTAACATAACATAATCTGAATGGTGAGTCGAACTAGAATCATAACTTCACGGACGCGGTTAGTGTAAAATCCAGCGTAACAGGTTCGAATGGCGTACCCCACACTACTACTATAAGCATACCCACCTGATTTATCCTCATTCCGTCGTGCTGTTATTGTTGTTCTTTCTCCCATTGTCGACCTATCTCGTTGCATATAGATCCTTTCCATCCTCGTGTAGGCATGTGGGATTTACACCGTAGAACCACAACGTTAACGAGGCAAGTCCTGGATTTATCTACAGCAATTCTTCTGAGATAGTTCATTACTTGAAGAGATTTAATGACCTATGAGCAGAGTAGGTTATTAAAGGAAAAAGATTAGTACAGAACAACTTTTAGGTGTAGGACTGCGTACCACGCACCTTCTCTACGATATCATCCCGATAGCTACACGGCTGACAGGGCAACACCGAAGAGACATCTCGCTCCCACGTTGATATAGGATAGCCAGCATTCACTCTAAGGTCGTAGTCGGAGGTTGAAGTAGAGGTTGCATGTTCCAGCTGGAAGTCGGGGTAGACTTAGTACGGCACCCTAGGTGTAGCAGGCACAATCCAGAGTTTAGTTGCGATACTACCGCAATTTCATATTAATATGTCGGATATACTTTTAAACTGAACATATGCGGTGATTGATGGAAGTGCGAATGAAGTGAAGTAGGAAGATGTTGTATGCAACAGGAAGGTGACGCTGGTCGTGGCAGGAGCAAGACGAGAACAAGCCTACCCTAAGGTTGCCATTAGCGGGCCGCCCTCCCGGATGAATTCAAGCTTTGGTGCCAGCGACGAGCTCACCCGAACTAGCTCTAACCATCCTGGCTTCTCCTCAAGCTCCTGGAATACCTCTACGATCAATGAATTAATACGATCTATAAGGTAACGGCCTTGTACTCGGTAGTTCATAATCAAAGACTATCAATATTACTTCTTACAAGTATCGCATCATCGCACGAAGATTAGAAGAGAGAAGAGGCTGTAACAAGACTACAATGACTCTTCCAATCTATAAAAATCACGTATAAAGAAATTTTTATGTGCATGAAACATCGAAGACCTGGGAGAGAAGACTTACAGCATGCTGTAACCATCCCTTTAAGAAATCAAAGCGGTTCGGACCTAAAGCGAAGGGATGGAGGTATCCCACAATTTATACATAAAGTGCGTGTTCGAATGATATCACCTGGTGGTAATCTTCATACTAACTACTACATGTTCTCGGAAGCATCGAATTCTTCAATCTGACTAATTGCCAACGCCAGATTTCGTCAAGTCGAGTATGATAATTCTGGCCGAACTGCTAGTCCTGTTTGGGCGTCTAAAATGTATTGATGAAGAGATGCCAAAGCGATAAAGCACATCTTGACCTTTCGTGGATGGTGATGATGCAGCGTCAGAGCGATCAATGACTTACTACTAGACTTAGATAGATTCAAGTGTCAAAGCGCAGCGAAGAAGTTGGTGGTCCTAGCAAGCATCATGCCACCAATTTCGAATGTGTACGGATGGAGTGACGATTCCCACAATTTATACATGAAGTGGTGCGTATTCAAACGGTATTCTCTGGTGG